TTTTTTTTTTTTTACAATAAATCAAGTACCAACTTCAAAGAGATGCAAAAAAGTCATGCTAGATACGTTTTGCACTCTTTAATTAAATAAGCAATTTCCTTCATGCAGAAGGTATCTTTACAGGAGTTTATCACCACTCTCTGGAAAGATACTCTGAGTAAACCAATCCACCCACAACACATTTTGTGCTAATAGTGCACAAATGTAATACAGCAGTCTTTATCTCTAAGTATTTCTGCAACTGTAATATAAACTCAGCATAAAGACAGAGGCCCTCAAGTATGCTTCTTCAATAAATATTTCAGAGCTTTTGAAGTAGGCTATGTTTCCTTATATTATTTGCAAAATTGGAAAGTAAAAATCAATTAATCACCACAGAAGTGAAAAAAAACAACAACCTGGAACACCGATTCCAAAGAGACAAAGGAACAAACTACTTGCACACAGATCATCAGAAAAAGGCATTAAAAATATACTTTAAGGATACCCTATGTAAAATGTTATTCCTTGGTAGATTCAAAGGTAGTAAACTGATTTACAATGTGATGATTCTGTCTGCTATTTCAACTGTACAGTTAGGTATTCTGTTTAACAGCAAGGTGGAACAACCAATTTATACACCAGTATTTTTTAATCCCTTCTCCAACACTGTCCTCACCACAGGTAAGACTACTAACCTGTACCTTATGTTTCTGTAATCAAGCACTAGTGCTGCAAAAGTGATCAGCAATTCAAACAAAAATATTTCTTATTAAAATATAATTGATAACGTTTTCCATTTATTTGACCCTTGGCATCTTAACAAACTACTTGCAAAGAAACCATGAGATGGCAAATCAGTGACACTGACATATGCCTACAATAGTCTCTTGCTAGCAAGATCAACATACAGCTATGACAAACTGTCCCACCCATATCTACACTGTACAAGTTTTCACAACCAAGGGAAGAGCCACACTCACAAATGACACAGCATTTGTCTACCGAAGGAGGATAACACTAAAAATCTAAGTTCCATTCAATTTTTGTAAGCTTACCAGAAAGAGAGAAAACCTTGTACACCTAGTACTATTTTAAACACTCAGTGTTTGATGGACAACACAAGTGAATAACTTAAGCTAATACAAAAATCTAGAACTCTTGGTTCAGAAATTATACCTATGATTTGACCAACTAGGAAATCGCAAAAAAAAAAATTCTGCAGAAAATGAGAATTGTTTTGCAATTCCCTACTTGGTCTAATAAAAGACATCATTTCTGAACCAAGAGTTCTAGATTTTTGCATTTCTTTTTGTCTCAGACCAACACAGCTACTAAATACATCCCTGTAACTTAAGCCAATGTACATTTTAGAAAATACATGCATTCCTGCAAACATTTCTCCTATCCAGGAGGAGGCTTTTAATTTCTGAGGTGTGGGATTCATTGTAATTCAATATTTCTATGGCTTAGCACCACTGAATTCAGCATTTAGGAAGAGCCTTGGTTGTGGTCAGGAAATTTAAGCTGCTCATCAGCAAATGAGAACATTTTTTTTTAACCCTGATTTCTTCTTCCACTGTGCCACACCTCACTGCCCCCTACCCCTGATCCCAAGAGGTTTCCAACATGTCCTTGTAGGGTGGAGAGTTTCAGTTAAAGCACCTAAAGAAAACATTTAGTGAGGGCAGTGTATATTCAAAATACTTTTATATAACAATAAATATTTTAATATGAAGTGGAAATTGCCTGGGGAGGAAAAGCTTTCAAAATCACCTGCTGTTCCCATTCACTGAAGCACAGGGTGAGCTCCTTTTATCTCTCTATTGTCACTTCCTGCGAAAATGCAATCCTTAAGGTTCTCTAATAGACTTTTCTTTTTAAAATAGTAACTTAGTTTAACAAGAGGAAATTTTTCCGGAGATTCCTTTCATTGTGCTTTTCACCTAGACCGTCTAGTGTTTTAGCAGACAAGTGCTATAGGCACATGTGCTTAAACACTGTCAGCTCTGACACTTAATGGGTCCCCATAGCCATTCGAACCATTTTCAGTAACACATTTCCCACAGAAACCCAGACATTCTGCCCCCAAGATCCACTCCTCAACTGCCCCAATGACTTCATGAAACCCTACCTCTTTCCACTTCTGACAATCTAACCTCTTTTCCATCTAAGACATGAGGAAATGTTCAACAGCAGATTGACACACCTCCAAAAGATTCACTACATCTTTCTCTGGTAACCCAGTGTTACACAGTAAATTCATGACACCTGGTAATTAAGCAGAGAAGCCACACATCTACAATTCCCACCAAATCCAACAAAAGCTACTGGATGCTTAGTGCTCTTGAAAGTCACCCCCATGTATTCTGGTGCCTAAACATGGATTTCAGAGATGAGCTTCAAGGTATGTATCTTCTAAAATTCTTGGCCTAATCTTTTGGTTTCCTGAAGGTATCAATATTGGGGCTCTAGGCCAGCAATTCTCAACCAGGATGTTGTAAGATCATTTTAAGGGTGTGACAGGGTGCTGTACAATAGTATCACTGTTAGGTGTGCCGACACCTATGCATGATTCATAAGATAAACCCAGAGATTTCAAACAGGAATCCTTAATGTCAAAAAACATTTCTGACCTTCTGTGGTCTTCCTGCATTCTTTGCAACAAAAGAATTACTCTATTATTTTTCCATAGTCAAAAAATGAGTGAAAGCTAAAAGCTGGCATTTTTCCGAGGGGTGTTTGAGGCTACAAAGGGGTGGCTAGTGTCTAAAAAGACGGAGAACCACCCTAGGCAAAAACCACTTCCCTACATCAACTGCTGGTATCATAGCATCCAGAATGCTAACTGCTGTACTTGGAAGCTTCCAGGTATTTTCCAAGTAAGTGGGCACTAAAAGTTACACGAGGAAAAGATTATGCAGCCACAGAGTAAAAAACTAGCATCTTGTGGTGATGAAAGTGTAAAGAGAGTTACTGTATTAAAAGTTCTTCTACCCTGAGATGAAATGAATGAGAAATCTTAAAATGCCTTTCTGTAAATGGTTAATTTAGCCTTGGAGCACACAAGACAATGGGCATGCAAGCACTGGAAAGCTTGAATGAAGCCTGACAAGAGACATTAGGATGCAAAGGACAATAGGTTACTTTAGGTGGAACTGGTTATCAACTCAGAAAGGAATCTCAAAAGTCTTTACCCCTACTTCATCTTCTTAAATTGCAGCGCGCTAATTAAAACACATGTAAAAATGGCCAAAGATTTTATTCTGAGCTATTATGTAATCATCTCTATATACGCTACTCAAAAATCCATAAATCAGGACAAAAGTTATTGAAATAAAATATTATAGGAAATGTTTGATTTTTAGTGTCTGATATTTTTTTTATCTATAATTTGTTAAAATGACATCTTTGGAAAGATTTTGTGTGTGCAGCCCTCAACAGCTCACCAAAACTTGTTGAGTGGTCATCCAGCTGAAGCAACTGCCCACCCCGATCTACAGCAACTTCAAAAAATAATTATTTTATACTTATTCCCAGTTTCCCCTTTAATCTGTTTCTGAAGGATGTACCATTGTCCTTCCTCCAAGACAGACCCTTCCGAATTCATAAGCCCATCTATAGCCATTCCAAATACAACTACAAACTAGTAACTCTTCTGCCAGACTGTAGCCCAGCACAGCCTTTTAATAGGTTCTCAACAACTAGGGATACTGATGGTTAAAGAGAGCAGAGCCGGGTACAATGGCACAGCCAGTGCTCCAAGACTCCCAGTATGTCTTCAGTAGGGCCATGATAAAAGGCTCCCAGACACACAGTTAGAGAAGCTGAAGGTAAACATTTTCCTGGAGCGCAGGTACATGTCTCTAACCACAAACTCGCTAACTTTACGTTCAACTCTGTCTAAAGCAGCTTTTCAGGAGTACTTAGAACCACATACAGATGTTTGCCAGGCTTTCAGAGACTGTCTTTCCATTTTACAAAGCCAAAAGCGGCTACGTTACAATTCCTTTCATTGGAAGTTGCCCCTCATCTCTCTTGCCTATCTCCTGAGGTTTATGCTCTTTTTGGGCAATTATTATAAAGCTTTGATGAAGCGTGGGTGAATTCTGCATTCATCTTAAAAGCAAAACATATTTTAGAAGATGTAGCTGCATACTTGAAAAAGCTTCAAAAGAATGCATAAAAGAGCCGACTTTATAGGATAAGATATCATTAAATGGAATAAACAACTGAGAGCACATGGAAGAAAAAGCCCAGTGATGTTTCAGTTCTGCTGCTAACCAAAGTTATAAAAAATAACAACTTTATAAAAATAAATAAATAAAATAAATCTCACAGATTTTTCAAGTTGAAGAGCTCACTCATTAGCAAGGCTGCCTCAAGGATCTCATAGTGTTTTTAGGCAATATACATCCAAAATATTTTACCCGGTTACTTACCAGTTCTTGTAGTCTAAGAAATGCTGGCAGCACATTTGCCTCCATTTCCCTCAGCTGTTCTGCTTTATCCAGTACCTTTTAACAAAGGGTGATCTTATTACAGAGTACATTTTAAACTGTCCTTTCATGTAGGATTCAACAACTTTTCTAGCTTAGCTAATGAAACCACATTTTAACTATAACCTTGGATGGCAAAAGGAGCCAGTTAAGTAGTAAGATATTTCAGACAGAGCATGTCGGGAAGATTATAGATTCAAGTGTGCTGTGTGCAAGGCACCTGGAAAGAAAGAGAATCCCTAAGAACCAAGTTTGTCATGTCTCATGGCAGTGTGAAGTGGAAATTAAAGCAAATCATCCATGCACTTGGGTATTACTGACAAAACCCATGACATCATTAGCAGCCGATTAAAAGATTCAGTCTCATTTACAGATAATTCTGTTATTTTAAAAGCTTTAAACAACATGCATATTAGTTGGGTTTTACCTGAATAGGTTTATTATAAGAGACACTGCATATTTCCATCAAAAGATGACCTTTCATTAACAAAAGGTGCTGTTATCTTTATAGTTCATACAAGTCTGATTTTCCAGTGTGACAAAATTTTTGTCAAACCTTGTCTCAAATTAAGCTCGAAAACTTGATTCTTTGCCCTATGGAAAATCTATAACAGCTCCAAGAAATAGTTTATTTTTGTGTGGACACTATTAGTAAACATCAGCTTTTTAAATGGGATCACTGTACATATAAACAACTAATATATGTTAAATCCTAGAGATACAAATGGCAGCCTTCCCCAATAGTCAGTAAAGAAACCTTATACACCAGAACACTTCATATCTTGAGCAGAAATGGGGGAAGGGAGGAGAGGGGAGTACAAGTTTTTTTTCAGTTTTCTGTTCTTCTGAATTTAAATACAGACTTCCAGAATGATTATTTCTTTTGGGCTATTGCTGCTGTAATGACATTACAAGTCTTTAGAGAACTGGATTCTGTTCTCTTTAATGGCTTTTTTTCCCCAACTATTAAGAGACATCCATCTTCCTCACTGCCCACAGAACAGAATTAATGGATGTCTTATACAGAGAGGCATTTCAAGATGAGATGTTATTGAGAGGAAACATGATATTGTCAATAAATACAGTTTTAAAAGTAGGTTACATGTATACTTGTATAGGATATTTTAGATAGGGAGGATCCTGTGTTGAGCAGCGGGCTGAACTAAATGACCTCCTGAGGTCCCTTTCAGCCCTACTTTTCTATTGTTCTACCCTTGATGACAAGGACAGGTGTATAATAGTAGGTCACTAGTGCACCTTAAGTGTTTTGCACAAAAATAGCATATACTAAAGGCCTATAACAGCAAATACTATTGCTTAACTAAAATATGGATTAACTTCTGCAAGATGTTTTAGATTTTTAATAAATAATTGTTTCATAATTTTCACTGTTAAATAATATTATAAACAGCAAGTTTATCTGTGAGAACACAACTGTTATAAGTATAAGAATGAATAAGTTTTATCTTTACAATTCTTAAAGTAGGCAGAATGACTCATTTTGTTTTCCTTGAGTAATCAGGAATGCTCAGCACCCATACTTGTATTAAGAGAGACATTTAGAAGGCTTTGCATGAGAGGAACCATTTATCTTAATTTTCTCTGACTTAATTGCAGCTGAAATATTAAGTTATTTACCACCGAAATGAAATCGAATAAATTTGTTTTGTCAGTTTATGCTACTAGTCTGCAGTTTTTCCATCAATCTCAATTTATACCACCCTATAATAAATTGAGAAGACATAGGTTAATTCACATAAATTGATTTTTCCCATCCTGTCTGTTTCCATGCAGAACAGAATTGAAATACTAATTTAACACTTAATTCTTCTGATTTAGCAATTATTTACCCAATACAATTGATCATTTTGAAGAATTTAATGCCTTGCCTTCTATAATCAATATTCAACTAACTTCTAATGATGTTAATATAAAATGCAAACTCTCTCTACAAGTCTTTAAAAATCAAGCATTTAACCCTTTCTAATGCATACACTAATCTGAAAATAATAGTTTTATAAAATTCATGGGGCATATTTCAATCTTAAATTTAAGTTTTAACATGTTTTTAATATTCATTTGTAGTTATATGTTAAAACAGTTTTCTCTGAATCACCTCTAATATCCTGTAAGTACCGTTAAATTTCATCTTGCTCATTCTTTTTAAAGAATAATTGGATTTATTAACTTGAGTTAAACATTCCTGTATAAAGTTACTAAGATATTAACGTACTGATTAAACAGAATATAAAGTTCTTGAACTCAATATGTATATTTTGAGTGAATACACAACATATTTAACAGTGATTTGTGAAATGACAAGATGTTTCAACATATTTGTGAACTTCTCCCTTATTTGACTTGAATAAAGCCAAAACAGTATCCCCACAAATGGCAAAAGGAATAATCACCAAATGGCACCTAAATTCCAATCTGAATGTCTATTTCAGTCAGGCTTCCTTTACTAAACGTGTTGATCTTTTTTTCAAACCAGTTAGTTAGACTACATGTTCATTATTCCTATTATTTGAAGTTGTCTGCCAATAATACTATGTGATTTCTGAATTTTCAATTGAAATAAGTCTGCTGAACCACCTGGCTTTATGAAATACACAAAAATCATGTGGCCAAATTAAATTTTTCATTACTTTAGTTTTCCCCATTTGGCTTCAATCACAATGACAACCTTTACAGGCAAGAACTGAGCTTTAAATCTTGCTACTGGAATTCAAGAGCCGTAAAATTTCAATAGTCCTTTATGTAATGGAACCAATCATTCAGGCTCCTCAGCTTGACCTTTAAACTCAATCTATTTGAGCCTAGATACTTTCTCTATCTGTGTACTACATACTGAACTTCCCTACTACTCCCCTATGTGGTTTCTCTTTAATAGAATTATACCCCAAGAGAAATGTTTGATGTTGTCTCCATACCTAATTAAAAATGAATTCAGGTTCTCTCAGTACCTTGTTATTTGATAAAAAAAATATACCTTTTTTGATGAAAATGTTATGTTTATTTAACCATTCGGCAAAATTTACCATTAGCATTTACGTGCGACTACCTCTAGAAGAACATAACAGGTGCCTATACCTGAGCAGAAAGGCTGCTCCAACACGCTGTAATTACAACACATCAGAACAGACTCAACTAATTGAGTCTGCTGGAGCATGGTAATTTCTGTACTCCAGCAGCCTCCAGCGTCTCACGCATCAGCATCGAACAAGCTTTAGATAAAGCATTCCTGCCGCCATTATGAAGCGTGGGTACGCTGATACACAAGACGCTCTGGTGGTTTAATTAAATTAGAGCAGCTTTCAGAGACTCTCTAATTAAAGCACCAGCCACCCCCCTCCTGGAGCATGTGTATAAACACCCACTGAAGGTGACTAAAACCCAGTAAAGCAGTTTAAAGATTCCCATCAAATTCATCTGGCTTTGAATCAGGCCCATAAAACATAATGTAGCAGAACTCTTGTAATGACCAGTATGTATTTTTTCCATGCATAAAAGGATTGTGATAAATGCAAACACTCAATGAAATAAATGAAAATAAGGAGAAACAATGTGCATGTTAAATTACTTACAATGTATATTGTTTCATTCTGTAGCTCTTCAGCCATAGTCTCTTGCTTAAACAGATATACAAACTGATTCAAAGTGTCGCAGGATGTGTGTGAAGCATGTTTAGTTTTAGAAGAAAGGATCTGCAACTGGCTCAGAATTTTCTCTAGAAGAAGCCTTGAAGTAGAGCATTCAACACAGTTCACAAATACATGAGGAAGCTACAAAAGAGAAGAAACATGTAAGATTTCCACTTGAAAACAGAATTTCAGGTCAATAAATCTAGGAGTGAGTTTAAAAAACGCCTCATATCTAAAGGCATTTTGGAATGCAACCTTCACATCTGCTCCTGAAATGATGTGTGGGCATGTTTACAATGTACTTTCAGAAGCATACATCTATCACACAACTATGCAAATGTTCTGAGGACTAGAGACAATATTACATTTAAGCATGATGATCATACAAGACATTTGTTTAGCAATAGCTGCCATGAGCTTTTGTTGTAGTAACAATTGGGCTTCAAGATTAATGCACAAAAAGTTGTAAAATTTTAAATTCCCCTCCCTTTAATCCATTTCTAATATTATTTGGGTATTGTATCTCAATAGCAGAAATCCTCAGACCACCAGACAGGATTTATTTAAAAGCTTCAAGTCTGATATACTAAAATGTATACTTACAAGTTTGTAGGTATATGTGAACATAACATGACCTTTAAGCTGTATGCTAAATTCTGAGTAACCAAAGCTTTCAAATATATAAGAACTTTATTCCTAGAAGGGCAGTTACTTACATTTTTAACTCTAGAACTGATCACATGAATAAAACCAGCAAAATGGCAGAACAAAGGGAGATACACACATGTACCAGAAGCACACGTACCCAAGAATTACACTTAGAGATTGCCTGATTGTCCCAGGGGCATAAAAATGGAGGCACCGGAGCAGCCTCCCACGGCAGGACCTGAGGCAGGGCTGACCTGCCCAAAGATAGAAATAGAAAGCCCTGAAAAGAGGGCACACTTACCATCCCCAGGAGAAGGGCCGCTGGCATGGTTCATCAGCTGCTTTTATTGCCAGCTGGGAACAGCGCTGGGCAGATGATGTCAGTAAAAACCACCACCCGGCAGATTTAAAAGCCGGTGGTGGGAAAATGGAGACAGGGCAGCAACGCCAAAGCCAGAGGGTGAAGCTTCTCCCCGGGCTGCAATTCAACAGAACACGGTTGGCAGCTCAGAAGGGGGCCTGACAGAGACCCGCAGAAGTCTCAACCACATTAGAAGAATTACAGAACCGACTTGGCAGGGCAGTCAGGCCAAGGAGGGATGTTGTTGAGGGATCCCATGAACCACAGACACCGGATCTATGAGTGGGGTGGGCAGAGACCCGTAACCCAATTATTCTTTTCTTCTCTTCTTTTTTGTTACTTTATTTTGGAGGGCGCACAGAGCCTGGACCAGTAGAGGTACCTACAAGTGACCCCAAGTCAAGAGAGAGGACCAAGGTGGCACAGCAGAAGCCTCAGAGGGAGAACAGATGCAGAGACGAGGATGGTCTCAAACATCACTGTCATCCTGGGTGAAAGGTCATTGAGGGGGGAAAAGGAAAGAAGAGAGCGAACGAGAACATCAGAAAGGGACAGGCCAGCAACCCATCATCTGGCAGTCCTGAAGGCTGGTGCATGGCTGGGGTGTAGGGAAGGTGGAGCCCCAAGAACGCCTGCAAGGGGCAGCACCCAGTCTGTGAGAATCCCTAAGGAGGAACCCCACCACTGAAGAAAAGAAGACCAAGTCATGGCAGAAGTGTCAGGCCTCCCTCCGTGTTGAACACGACCCGACACAAAGGTCCCAGGGACACACCCCATAGCCAGAACTGGGTGTGCGCTCGAAGGTCACTAGAGAGCACCTAAACAAGACCAGGTGGGTGCACTGATAATATTTTAGCAGAAAAGCTTAAATTTGGTCACTCCTTTCAGCCCTTACTTTGAAGAACTGAGATACTGTGCAGCTCTCAAATATTAATAAACTAAGTGATTTTCATGTTATTCACTGGCAAAATTTCAATTTTTACAGCACTGTTTTAATGCACGAAAGTTAAGGTTGGAAGACAAATACCTCATTGATGCTATTTTGATGGCTGTTGTATCTGCCACATACACTTATATAAGGAATGAAATGTTACCTGCATAGCAACTAGTTCTTAAAGTAGAATGTTTGCATAGAACCCCACTCCTAGAGAAGCATATGTTCCTTTTTCACTGAATATCAAAACATCTGGAAAGCATTAGTCATAGGGGCACAAGTATATTTCTTGCTAAACCAAACTTCAGGTGCAAGGTTATATATAGAAGCTTCACTGCTGACCTCATTCCAGTCATTCCACTTAATCAGAACCTGTATCATAGACTGTGAGGAAGGTGGGTGGAAAATACCTGCTGGCAGTCCACTCAAACAATGTTTACTAGCAAATATTCTTACCTCCTCCTTTAAGCATTGTATTTAAAGGGCAGGATGCACAAAGAGACCTGGGCATTGTGATGCTCTTAAACAATGGATAAGGAGAGTTGGGCAACTCAGAATGAGATTCAAAACATTCACCATACGGAGCAAGCTTAGCTAACCCATAAACAATCCTGCCCCGTTTTGAAGCTTACGTCCCTACCTTTAGTTGGATGCTCTGAATCCTATCCTGAATTAAGTGTCAACACCAACTCTACCAAAAGCCAAAGAAGGATCACTCCCATCTTTTGAAACACTTCCTGGATGAGGAGAGAGTGTTCCTCTCTTATGCAACAGCCTAGTGCTTAGACTGCTCACTCAGGATGTGGAAGATACCAGTTCAATGCTGAGGGTGGTCAGACCCACATCTTCCACCCTGATTACAATATGTCCTAACCCCCCGGCCCAGCTCAGGTAAAGGCAATCTATACTCCTTCCATTGAGGCTGTGCCACTTTGCAGAAAAGAGGGAGTAAGAACAAGCATGACTCTCTAGTAGCACAGTTACAGTATTCACTTGGGAGTTGGGGGCCCTGGATTCTGGTCTCTACTCTATGTACAGCTTATATTTTAATCACTGATAGTTTAATGTAAAATATAAACCATAACATAAGCCTGAGGTGGCCAACCTGCAGCACGTGACAAAAGTGGCAGGGCAGCATGTATGTGTGGCATGTAGCAGTCCAGGGAGGGATGGGCAGCACAGTGGGAGATAGGACAGGAACCAACGAGCAAAGTAGCAGCAGATCTGGCAAGAAGCATAGGGCAGAGTAGTCTATCAGGAAAGGGGAAGAGAATTGGAGTAGCACTTGGGAATGGTATGGGGCTAATTTGTGGCATGCCTGCCAAAAAGGGTGGCTCTCACTGACATAAACCATCCTTAGAAGAGACCAGAACCCAGATCTTCCCACTTGCGAAATGAGTGAAGGAACTGAACCTGGGTCTCCCCATCCATGAATGCATGCCCTCAGCAGTTGGTTATTGTATAAAAGAGGAACACCACTCATTGCCACCACCTTCTCCTCCTGCTGTTGTGTTTCTCAAAGAAAGTGGCAGCCTCTACTGTACACTGTGCTGTGCCTGTTATTACAGGGCATATATTAGGCTATATCAGGGCACGTGAAACACCTCATCTGTAGATCCTGATGGAGCTTAGGCAAGAGGACATGATGGCAATATTGAACCATGTACAGAATAGAACTTTAGGCACCTAGGGAACTTTACTTGAAAAAACTTAAGCATTACAAGCTTCCAGTACTGGTTTTCATTATTCCACTTTTTGACTTAGGTGGAATTTAGATGATTTGGAAAAAACAATCAAAACAGACAGAAAAAGAAAAATAGTTCATGTAAACATATTCAAGGAGACAGAAAAGGAATGGCCACACAGTTAATGGGATGCGGAGACAGAGTTACAAGTCCTCTGGCTGCAACGATTCTAAAAGATAGAGTGGATTCAGGGCCATGGTTATCATCACATTCTCGTTTTTGTGAGGCATGAGCATTCTGCCACACAGGCTCACTTCTTTCCACACAATTTAGCTCTTTGGGGCCAAGACTGCATGCGTTTTTTCAAGGTTTTACAATGTCATTATCTGAAATTGAAGCTAAACTCTTCCAAAGAGTTAAAAGAACTACATGACAATTTTAACACTAAACCTTAAGAACTCCAGTATTAATCTTTACGGACGTACCCAGAAGCCAGTCTACTTCCTAATGCAGAGGTACCTGCTTGCAGCAGTATGATGAGAAGAGTTTCTGGTCTTGGTTTGTTACTGGGGCAAAACTGACTGAAATAATTCCTGATATACTCAACCTCTCCTGCTTGAGGAGCTGCTTCTTCTCCCCTCAACTATCATACAACTACCACGGTCTGATGTCAGAAGGTCACAAAAAGAGGTACAAAATGTTAAGACATGAGTCTGAGGAAGGACAGACAGAGTCAGCAGTGATAATCAGATAGGAGAGAAAGGGAAAGTGGTGCTGACATGAACCTGGGGAACACAAAGGAATCCACCTCCATGGGACAAGTGCAAGGTAATGTCATTTTTAGCAAATAGACAGTATTGAATAATTAATGTTAATTCAGTCTTTCAAAGGTTAAATTCAGGTAAAACCAAATGAACAATCTACAGATCAGGAAAACACAAAAGAAGTCACAATTTCAAGGGATAATAACTACCAACCTCATACCACCATCAGTAAAACATCTACATGGGAAAGTATGTAAAGAAAAAGCAGAAACAATAAAATAAGGAAAAGAAGCCTATAAGTAGAAACAAAATTAGGCTGGCCTCACTCCTATATATCTAATTTCTCCTTCCAAATTGTTAACTTGATCAAACAAACTTGTTAACTGAAGACAGCAAATTTTCAAAATGAACTATCAAGTTAGTCAGTCTATTGAGAACTTAAACATCAATATCTAACATTTAAGCTTTATCCATCTGCCATCTTGTAAGATGTCTAAATTTATCTGAAACTCCAACAACAAATGTACACTAAATTTTGCATTCAGACAGGATATAATAATTTTGTATTTCTGCTAACTTGAAGTATATGCTGGATCAATAAATATTTATTTAAGCTATACTAAAACCTAACAGAAACTCATTCTCACATGTTTATTATTATTTTAGAAAATGGGAAATGATTTCTTATATACTTGACAAGTTTCTGCTTACCATTTATATCAATCTGCATTTAGATAGAAATTGGAATT